AGCCCCCTTCTGCCAGGCAGGAAGAGAGAACTAGCATTATCCATCATCATCACCATCAGCTTCTTTTTCTTATCATTGTTACTAATACTACTACGATTACACTCATAGAGTTGGAAGGAAGCCCAATGGTCACCCAGTCCAACCCTTTTTGCTAGGCAGGAAGACAGTACTATTATCCATCATCATCATCATTATTATTATTATTATTATTATTATTATTATTATTATTATTATTAAATTAATAGAATTGGAAGGGACTCCAGGGGCCATCCAATGCAACTCCCATCTGCCAGGCAGGAAGACAATACTACTGTTACATTATTATCCATCATCATATTATTATAATAATACTATATAACTACCCTGTCCCCCACTGGGAGAGAGACCTGGATATAAATACAGACTCATAATAGAGTTGGAAGGGACCTCAAAGGCCACCCAATTCAGTCTCCTTCTGCTGGGCAGGAAGACAGAACTATCATTATCCATCATTATCCATCATCGTCGTCATCATTACTATCAGACTCATAATAATAGAATTGGAAGGAACCCCAGGGGCCATTCAGTCCAGCCCCCTTCTGCTGGGCAGGAAGACAGAAGTACCAGAATCCTCCATCATCATCATCATCATCATCATCATCATCATATTATTATTATTATTATTATTATTATTATTACTACTACTACTACTAGCCTCATAATAGGAGTTAGAAGGGACCTCAAAAGCCACCCAGTCCAACCCCCTTCTGCCAGATAAGTAGACAGAACTATCATTATCCATCATCATCATCATCATCATCATCTAATTATTGTTGTTGTTGTCATTATTATTACTATCAGACTAATAATAATAGAGTTAGAAGGGACCCCAGGGGCCATTCAGTCCAGCCCCCTTCTGCTGGGCAGGAAGACAGAAGTACCAGAATCCTCCATCATCATCATCATCATCATCATCATCATCATCATCATCATCATATTATTATTGTTATTATTATTATTATTATTATTACTACTACTACTACTACTACTACTATACTACTAGCCTCATAATAGGAGTTAGAAGGGACCTCAAAAGCCACCCAGTCCAACCCCCTTCTGCCAGATAAGTAGACAGAACTATCATTATCCATCATCATCATCATCATCATCATCTAATTATTGTTGTTGTCATTATTATTACTATCAGACTAATAATAATAGAGTTAGAAGGGACCCCAGGGGCCATTCAGTCCAGCCCCCTTCTGCTGGGCAGGAAGACAGAAGTACCAGAATTCTCCATCATCATCATCATATTATTATTATTATTATTATTATTATTATTACTACTACTACTACTACTATTACTACTAGACACATAATAGGAGTTGGAAGGGACCTCAAAAGCCACCCAGTCCAACCCCCTTCTGCCAGATAAGTAGACAGAACTACCATTATCCACCATCATCATCATCTTATTATTATTGTTGTTGTTATTATTATTACTATCAGACTAATAATAATAGAGTTAGAAGGGACCCCAGGGTCATTCAGTCCAGCCCCCTTCTGCTGGGCAGGAAGACAGAAGTATCAAAATCATCATCATCATCTAATTATTGTTTTGTTGTCATTATTATTACTATCAGACTAATAATAATAGAGTTAGAAGGGACCCCAGGGGCCATTCAGTCCAGCCCCCTTCTGCTGGGCAGGAAGACAGAAGTACCAGAATCCTCATCATCATCATCATCATCATCATCATCATCATCATCATATTATTATTATTATTATTATTATTATTAGACTCATCATAGAGTTGGAAGGGACCCCAAAGGCCACCCACTACCATTATCCATCACCATCATCTCATTATTATTATTATTATTATTATTATTATTATTATTACTACTACTTACTACTACTACTACTATCAGACTCATAATAATAGGGTTAGAAGGGACCCCAGGGGCCATTCAGTCCAGCCCCCTTCTGCTGGGCAGGAAGACAGAAGTACCAGAATCCTCCTCCACCACCACCACCACCACCACCATATTATTATTATTATTACTACTACTATTATCCATCACCATCATATTATTATTATGAGAGTTATTATTATTATTGCAATCAGACTCATAATAATAGAGTTGGAAGGGACCCCAAAGGCCACCCATCACCATTATCCATTATCATCATCATATTATTATGAGACTTATTATTATTATTATATTATTATTATTGCTATCAGACTCATAATAATAGAGTTGGAAGGGACCCCAAAGACCATCCAATACCATTATCCATCATCATCATATTATTATTATTAGACTTCTTCATCTTCTTGTTACTATCAGACTCATAATATTAGAGTTGGGACCCCAAAGGCCAACCATTACCATTATCCATCATCATCATATTATGATTATTATGAGACTTATTATTATTATTATTATTATTGCTATCAGACTCATAATAATAGATTTGGAAGGGACCCCAAAGGCCACCCACTACTATTATCCATCATCATCATCATCATCATCATCATCATTATGAGACTTCTTCTTCTTGCTATCAGACTCATTCATTATTATCTTATTATTATGATTATTATGAGACTTATTATTATGAGACTTATTATTATTATTATTATTATTATTATTATTGCTATCAGACTCATAATAATAGATTCGGAAGGGACCCCAAAGGCCACCCACTATCATTATCCATCATTATTATCATTATTATGAGACTTCTTACTATTATTATTATTGCTATCAGACTCATAATATTAGAGTTGGAAGAGACCCCAAAGGCCACCCACTACTATTATCCATCATCATCATCATCATCATATTATTATTATTATTATGAAACTTCTTCTTATTCTTATTATTACTATCAGACTCATAATATTAGAGTTGGAAGGGACCCCAAAGGCCACCCATCACCATTATCCACCATCATCATCATCATATTATTATACTTATTATTATTAATTATTATTATTATTATTATTGTTGTTGTTGTTGCTATCAGACTCATAATAGAGTTGGAAGGGACACCAAAAGCCACCCATCACCATTATCCATCATTATCATCATCATCATTATTATTACGAGACTTCTTCTTCTTCTTTTTATTATTACTATCAGACTCATAATAATAGATTTGGAAGGGACCCCAAAGGCCACCCATCACCATTATCCATCATCATATCATCATCATCATCATCATATTATTATTATTATTATTATTAGACTCATCATAGAGTTGAAAGGCCACCCATCCCAACCCCTTTTTGCTGGGGAGGAAGACAGAACTATTATCCATCATCATCCCCATTATAGTATTATTACTATGAGACTCATCACTGAGTTGGAAGGGTCCCCTGAGGCCATCCAGCCCAACCCCTTTCTGCCTCAGGAAGGCAGCACTCAAACCCTCCCGACAGAGGCAGCACTCAAACCAGCAATGATAGTTGCTGCTGTACCTAGCCTGGCCTTCACAACAAGGAAAGGGCCTGAGACTGTGAGGAATGGTGGGAATTGAAATCCAAAACACTTGGAGGGCCCAAGTTTGCTCAAGTGGCTCAGAGGGAAAAGGAAGGGGCCTGAGGCTGTGAGAAATGGTGGGAGTTGAAGTCCGAAACACCCCAAGGGAAGGCCGAAGTCGAGGCTGTATGGCCAAAGTGTTCCTCCTGTCCTTTCGCCCGCATCTGCGGCTACTGGCATCTTCAGAGGATCAACCCACAGATGCAGGCAAAATGTCAGGAGACAATGGGTTGTTGTAGGTTTTTTCAGGCTGTATGGCCATGGTCTAGAGGCATTCTCTCCTGACGTTTCGCCTGCATCTGTGGCAAGCATCCTCAGAGGTAGTGAGGTCTGTTGGAACTAGGAAAAAGCGGTTTATATATCTGTGGAATGACCAGGGTGGGATAAAGAACTCTTGTCTGCTGGAGCTAGATGGGAATGTTTCAACTGACCACCTTAATTAGTGGGTTGTTGTAGGTTTTTCCGGGCTATATGGCCATTGTCTTGAGACATTCTCTCCTGACGTTTCGCCTGCATCTATGGCAAGCATCCTCAGAGGTAGTGAGGTCTCTTGGAATTAGGAAAATGGGGTTTATATATCTGTGGAATGACCAGGGTGGGACGAAGGACTCTTGTCTGCTGGAGCTAGGTGAAAACTTTCAGGAGAAAATGCTGCTAGAACACATTGACCAGATGGAAACAAGGTGAGTGGAGTTTATGTACTTGTGGAATAATTTCCAGTGTGGGAGAAAACAACTCTTGTCTGTTTGAGGTAGATGTGAATGTTTCAGTTTGCCACCTTGATTAGCATTTAATGGCCTAGCGGTTTTTATGGCCTGGCTTCTTACTGCCCGGGGGAATCCTTTATTGGGAGGTGATTAGCTGGCCCTGTTTCTTGTCTGGAGTTTCCCTGTGATTCAGTTTTGTTCTTTATTTAGTGTTATAATTTTAGAGATTTTTTTAATACTGGTATCCAGATTGTGTTCATTTTCATGGTTTCCTCCTTTCTGTTGACGCTGTCCACCTGCTTCTTGTGGATTTCAGTGGCTTCTCTGTGTAGCCTGACCTGGTGGTTGTGAGAGTGGTCCAGCATTTCTGTGTTCTCCAATAATACTCTGTGTCCAGCTTGGTTGCCCTGCCTTCCTGCCACGGAAAGAAGAGCCGGAGCCACGGTTGATTTTTCCAGCTTTTACTTTTAAAAAATCTCAGTTAAAAGTGAACAATACAGGACGAGGCTTGGCTGCCAAATGTGGGGAGGGGGAGAGGAGGGGAGGGGCGCCCAGGCCCACAAATAAAAAACAGAAGGAAGGCCTTCAACAGAGGCGCAGCTGAGGGGCCCCCCACCCCCACCCCCCCGCAGTGGGGAACGTCCCACCAACAGAAACATCACGGGCACAGAAATGGCAACAACCACAGGGAGACATTGGGAGGGGGCGGCAAGGGAGGGGTGGGGGGTCAGTGGGTGGCTGTTGTGGGGCCCCAGGCTCTGCCCCTCCCCACCGTTCTCCGTCTGGAATGGTTTCAAAGAACAGTGGGGCTGTGGGGCCCCCTCCCCACCTGAGAGCCCCCCCCCTCCAATGATGTGGACAGTGGGCGGGAGGGGCTCCCTAAGGCTAAAAAAGGCCGGGCTGAGCGTCGCCCCAGAGTCCATGGTTGGTTGGTCGGTCAGTCGTCCGGCGCTTGCCCCTCGCTTAGAAAACAAGAGTCCAGAGAGAGAGGGAGAGCGAGGGGGCCGCCCGCCCCCCCCTCCCGCCGCCTTGGCCGGCCGCTAGTCCTGCCGGGCCTTCTTGCTGCAGCTCTCTTCCGTGGGGGGAGGGGGCGAGGGGGAGGGGGAGAGGGCCGCACTGCTCTCCTCCAGTTTCCGCTTGACCCCCTCGGCTCCCGCCGGACCCCCGCCTGGCCGGGCCTTGAAGGAGATGAGGATGCAGGTCATGTTGTCGCAGCCGGTCCCGTCGCCAGAGGTGTCCGGAGCCAAGCAGCGGTCCAGGAGCTGGAGAGGAGGAGGGGGGGAGGGGGGCAGGCAGAAGAAGGGCATCAGCAAAACAACAACAACAACAACAACAACAACAACCAGGCACATCTTAACACCTCTCGACAAAAGATTTTCCCAGGCTCAGCCAGGCCTTCAAATGCTAATGAAGGTGGTCAGTTGAAACATTCACACCTAGCTCCAGCAGAAGAGCTCTTTGCCCCACCCCAGTCATTCCACAGATATATAAACCCATTGTCCTAATTCCAACAGACCTCACTACCTCTGAGGATGCTTGCCATAGATGCAGGCGAAACGTCAGGAGAGAATGCCTCTAGAATATGGCCATATAGCCCGAAAAAACCCACAAGACCCAAACATTTTTTTGAGTCACCACTATCACATCAAAGGAATCTTAGGGTAGCTACGATGCACACAGAGCTAAAAAAAATCAAAAAGTGTGAAACACAATATCAAAACCATAAAACAGACACGTGGACTATAAAAACATCAACTTGACTCCCTAATCTTGAAATTCTAACGTGCATAAGTTACTACTAACAAAACTAAATACTTGCGGTGTTGTAAAATTGTAATGAAAATAGTATCAGATGCCCCCCAGTAATGGAGATGTTTGTAGGGACAATAAGGTGGTCATTCTTGTGTGTACCCCCAACCCCTCCCAGCTTTTTAATCCCTCAAAGGGAGAGCGGTGAGCCCCACCTCAAACCTGTTATCCTAATATGATTGCTTTAATGTGTCCTAACTACACTAAATTTACTTGCTATCTTTCGCTTGTTGTAAATTTAAAAACTATGTCCAACTCAGAAATTGAGTGTGGTTGGGGCTACGGGTATATTTACTCTGTAGGGTCACCCTCATCTTGATACCCCCCAAGTGTAGATCTTCTATCCCCTCACTAACCTCACACAATAAATAAACTTTTTCTCCCCCCCCCCTTTCTACTTTCAAAGTAAATCTTCTCTCACACTTTCTATCCTTCCTACTCTCTTTCCTCCCTCTTTCTTCTTCCTTTTTCTTCCTTCTTTTTGTTCCTTACTTTTTCCTTTCTTTTTCCTCCTTCTTCTTCCTTTTTCTTCCTCTCCCTCCTCCTTCCTTCCCTTCCCCCTCCTCTTTCCTTCTTTCTTCCTTCCCTCCCTCCCTCCCTCCTTCCTCCCCTCCTTCCCCTTCCCTTTCCTCTCCTCCCTCCTCCCCCCTTCCTTCCTTCCTTCCTTCCCTTCCTCTCTCCCTTTCCCTCTTCCTTCCCTTCCTCTCCTTCCCCTTCCCTTCCTTCCTTCCTTCCCTTCCCTCCTTTTCCTTTCTTCCCTTTTTCCTTTTTTCTTTTCTTTTTCCCTTCTC